TTTCTAGTGAGTTGACATACAGTGCAGTATTGGGTTCAGGAGTAAAATTTGGTGAGTCATCACTTCCTTAGAACACCCAGTGCTCCATACGTCGCCCTCCTTAATACTCATCACCCATTTAGCCCACCCCCCACCCCCTTCCCTCCAGCAACCTCCAGTTTGTTTTCTATCATGAAGAGTCTCTTGTGGTTTGCTTCCTGGTAAGCATGAATTTCAGCAAAGAAACCATACTCTGAAAATCATAATTGAAGTACAGATTTGTTCCTTCACGGCCCTAGGCGCAAGGGGGAGGAAGCTGGCACGCATTGCTTTTAAAAGTGCCATAGTGATTAGATGTCATCTTCTGAAGCCAAGTTTGTGCATAGTTTTCATACAGGTCTTTAATATTCTCAGCTTCCCTTTCAGTTCACAAGTGAGGAAGACTATTTTTCATTGTTGTGTGTAGTCCCTGGTAAACACTGCCTTTCGCTGGCAGGCTGACCAGTTGAAGCTTGCCTTTATTCTTTGCTGAAATTTTATATGAGTTTTCTCGAAAGATACTTACTGACTTGGTGGAAGGACGTTTTGTTTTTTCCACCTTGTTTAGAGATTATTTTGGACTCGGATTTTTCATCTGCTAAGGAAATGTGAAGAAGGTTTTCTTAAAAAATTCAGCAGCATATGTAGTTGTTTAACCAGAAGTCATTGTCGATCATCGTTGTTGTTCAGATAACCTGGTTGAAAATGGGCTCTGATCTGCAAGCTTCGGACGGTAGCAGACTTTCACATGTTTTATGTACTACAGCCTGGCTCCCGTGATAAACCTCTTTTCTTAAAAGAGAAATAGTCCCACCGTTGATGTAACAGCTTCAGTGTTTGGAATCTCCTTTCTCTGTGAACGCTTACAACCGCCCCATGGGGTAGAGCAAGCATTAGGTTTTTACAGGGAAGAAAATTAAGACCTCACGAGGCTGAGTTGCTGAAGGTCATGAGACCACAAGCCATGCGAACATCTCTGTCCTGGTGTGTAGCTCTGGGCTGTGTCGTTCCTGGATCCAGTACTGGAAACGCAAAGCCTTTTGACCCGTGGGCTTGCCTCACCTTCCCATTCTGTGCATTCGTGGTTTTCTCTGCATGGAGTCTATGCTAACGTATTCTTCGACAACAAGGCAAAAAAGGTTTTTCTTCCATCCCCGTCACCTTTGTGAGCTGTTGACAGCAGTTGGTGCTCATGAGCTCAGTGGGATTTTGACTTTTGCATTCACTCTGAAGAGTCTTGACCTCTGCTTTCCTCGTCCTGGGCTGCCCTGTCGGGAGGAGGAGCTGTACGAGGTGCCTCACAGAAGGGGTGTCTGTGTGGGGGTGCTCTTGCCATTCGTCAGAGAGAACATACATCAAGGACTGTTCCAAGTGCGTTACACGTGTTAATTTTAATACTTGCAGCAACCTTATGATTTCGATGTGTCTTCGTTGTCCCTGTTTGAGAGGAGAGTGAGTCAGAGAGAGGTTCTCTTGCCCTGTGTCGCGTAGTCTGTGTTGACGCCGAGCTATAAATCCAGGCTTTCTGGCCCCAGAGTCTCCGCTCTTATCCCCTGTCCACTGTGGCTTTGGCCTTAAACTGGCCAAAAGCCAGGGCTTTTTAGTTGCGAGGGGCAGAGGGATAATCTTGCAGACACCAACTCGATATTGAGGTATTACTCCTCCGCATTCTGAAAGCCTAGTAACAGTGTTTTCATGCCAACAAGTGTTATTGATAACAACATAATGACAGTAATAGCTATCTTTGATCACTTAACACTATGCTGGGTGTTTCTGACTGCCCCTTTCTGGAATAAAAACTCTGCAGGGTATCTTTTGTAAGGTCATGTAGTGACAGAGACGGGAGTCAAATCAGCTTGCTCGTGTGGTTCCCAAATTATGCCTTCAATATTTCTTACTAGGAACCTTGATGAGCTTGAAATACTTGATGTATTTTCCCTTGCATTTAGTCTCTTGAACAACTTAAGAATTCTACCCAAGTAAATTGTAATCGGTAGTGGCACATTTATCATTATACCAACCTTAAAACAAGCATTCTCTCCAAATCTCACAGTATTGTGTTTCTCAGTTACCATTGGCTTCCTTTCTGAAAATGATGAAAATGTTAACAGAGCTCAGTGGTTTGCCCAGCAGATGGCATTTGTATGAGTTTTTCAGGTTCCTTTGGAATCCATTACTTGCCAATTACCCAATTTTGTTTTGAATACCCTGTATTTCCAGTTAATATTGGGGCATTTACATAAAGAGAATGTGCCAGAATTGCTGTAATCTATGCTATAATAAAATCTGCTTGCTGTAGATGATAATTTCTGTTAATTGTTTACTGCAAAATGCACTCAAGAAAACAATTCCTTCTCTATTCACCATAATCACTGAGATATCAATCAACTCTCAAACACAGGGTATGTGGGAGCTCTTGAAGGGTCTGGATGTTTTTAGTTACAAGTGGTAGTTTCTCCTCCTCAAAGTATGGCTGCATGGTGGTGAGAATCACAAACTAATGTCATGCAGAATGGTTGGTATTTACACATGCTGGATATTTATGGATACGGTACATGAGCATTGAATGAGTTACATGTCATGTTAAAAACATGAAGCGAGGAGAAGTCAGATGGAATGTCAGTGAGTACTGTTTTTGGTTAATAAGAGAACTTCAAGAGTTCTGTTCTGAGCACACTGTCTTTATCTCCCTAGCTCCCCATGTTATGGTGCCTCGCTAATAACGGGTGCTCAAAAAATGTTTCTTGAATGAATGATTTTGTTTGCAGCAGGGCAGAGAAGTGTAGACAGAAGAGACTAGCATGAACAGTGCCTGAGATGTTAAATATTTCAAAAGGTTTGAGGCTAGGAAGATTCCAGAGACCCACTGAAGACACAGATCTTTAAGTGAAGCTATAAGGTATTTTTACAGCCTTGTAAAAAATTGAAAAACAACTTTGCACTATTTTGCTATTATGTTTTCTCCCTCCTGGCTTCCCCTCTGAGGTGAACTGCCTCCTGTTGGTAGGAATACTCTGGGGCACTATCCTTAGGTAGACAGTCATGTGAAAAACAACCTGGCAAAAATCACAAGATCCCAGTTACCAGATAGTACTGATTGGCTGCCTTCCTGGAGGGATCAGGTCTTTTGATAGGTTGGTCTATAAATTCCAGTATTTCTTTTGAAGACTTGAGATTTAATCAGTGCCTGTTAAAGTCGTGCTTGTCTTTTTACCAGCATCATAATGAAATTTCTTTTTTCTTGAACTTTTGAAAATAAAACAATTACTTTTGAAATCTGTACATAGTTACTTTTGATTTACTTTCATACTATAAAGACAAAGGCTAATTTTACTCTGGTCTTTAGAAAGATGAATATTTTACAAAGAGAGGTAACAGGTGAAGTTGGTCAGTATGTTCAAAATATTCACCCCCCCTTTTTTTTTAAGTTTATTTATTTTGAGAGAGAGAGAGCACCAAAGTCAGACCTTTAACCAACTGAGCCACCCAGAGGACCCCTTTTGTTTTCTTTTTATTTAAAATTGTCTACTCATAGAAGTCTCTTCACCACCTAAGATAACATTACAAGTCCAATTCTGACGATAATTAAGCTGAGTTGGTGGGATGACATTATCTTTTAATGTCTGAAACAGGTCTCTTTATGAGGAAATCTGTTATTCAGGATCCATGGTGTCAGTTCTATATCATCCAGTGATATCACCTGAGTTGTTGAAAACTCCTATAGAAAGAGCAGGTAGCTAGGGGGAAGTTCCTTTGTAGGGAGGTACTTTCAATAAGCACTCTGATTTCAGTGAATAAAGGTTTTCAGTGTGACTCCTTGGAAGGAGGCACATCGAGGCAATCCAGAATTCTTTCTTTGTACCAGTGCTATTCATACTGAAACGTATGACCATTTTAGTCAGTGTTGTATCCTTAGTTCCTCGCACAGTGCCTAGCAGGTATTATTTGTCTCCTGATGTTTGTGGAATGAATGAGTGAATGATTGGCCTTGTATTAAGGTTGAACTTTGGGATATTCTTGGTGTCAGGGTCTTTGTACTCCTTTCCTTTTCTTGGGAATGAAGAAGTGTGCTAGGTCTGGGACGCCTGGGTGGCTCGGTCGGTTAAGTGTCTGACTTTGGCTCAGGTCACGATCTCGCGGTCTGTGAGTTCGAGCCCCGCGCTGGGCTCTGTGCTGACCGCTCAGAGCTCGGAGCTTGGAGCCTGCTTCGGATTCTGTGTCTACCTGTCTCTGTGCCCCTCCCCTGTTCATGCACACACACATGCTCTCTTTCCCTCTCTCTCTCTCAAAAATAAACAAACATAAAAAAAAAATTTAAGAAGTGTGCTAGGTCTGAGCTCATAATCCAAGCTTTGTTAGTAGCAGCTGTATTTCTGTTGTTTGATTTCCTACACATAAAGAATAGGAAACTGGAGGGCTCCCAGAAGTTGGCAGCTGTCCGATTTCATCATTATGATAAGCCACTAGTTGAGAAAGGTATCCAGTAAATATCATTTCCCTGGGAAGAGGCAGCCAGGGATGAAATGAACACTTCTCATTTTCCTTTCCAAAATGTGAGTAGGTGAGGAGTAATTCAGAGTGTCTGTGGGGTTCTCAGAAGACCTGAGGAGAGGTAACAGCACGAGGGGCAGTGTGGTGGGTCGTTTTGTGGTAGCTTTAATGTGTGAGTGTGTCTGGGATCAGGCAGGACCCTTGGCCTGTTGGCGGCCATTAGGTCGTTTGTACGTATGTTTGTGCTCTGGGGACACCTCGCCCGGGAAGTGGGAACTGGGTGCACCGAATGGAGGTAAAGAAAGACCCGGGAAGTAGAACTCTGAAGCATCACGATACCATCGGAGTGGGAATGGAATCGAACACAAGAACGTTTTTGTTTCAAATGCCGTTCCTGAACAAGGGCTTGTCGAAGTTTTTATTCAGAGAAGGTTTAAAGTTGTCTCGCGAGACCGTTTCTCTAACCTCACCGCATCCTTTTCTTTCTTCAGCTGTTCCAAAGACCTAACGCGCTCGCCGTCCAGCAGTTGACGGCCGCGCAGCAGCAGCAGTACGCACTGGCGGCGGCTCACCAGCCTCACATCGGTAGGTCCCTGGGTGCGGCTCCCGTGCCTACGCGTGGCCCCCGCTCCAGGAGCCCCGGCGGCGTAGGCCGGGTAGGACAAAGCACAGACAGGGCTCTCGGAGTAGATGGCCTCGTTCGTCCTCTTGTCCGCCTGTCTTTGAGCCACCTGCTTGATTTTTGGCAGCCTTCTAGACTTCAGCTTGTAAGCTTGCCTGGTGTCCAGGGAGTGGTCTGCCTCCGCTGTGCTGTCGGAGGACTCAGGGTCAGTCCTAAACGACAGTTGTGACCAGCATGGACTCTGTTGGTTAAGACTGGATGAAATCCGTGACGTAACAACAGTTCTGTTCTTGTTAGGGTCGTCTAGACTGTGAAAATATCGACTTCTCATCTTCTTAAGTAGCAGGGAGTACGCATAAGGCCATTTTCCAAGCAGCGTGTATTGATGGTCGTGAAAAGTATTTTCATTTAATGACTGGTTTTTAAAGTAGGTTTTCCCTTTTCCAGTAACACTGGTTAATGTTCTGATGTACATATTTTTATTGCCTAGACTCCCCCCCACCCAGACCTTCTTAAGGTCTCTTTGAAACAAAGTGCTATATGTGTAAACAAGTACATGTACAATTTTTTTTTTTTAATGCGTCAAAAGGACATGGTAGAATAGAAGGAAATCATGGGTTGAGGTATGCTGTGGAAGGAAAGACTTGCTTCCAGCCTAAATGTCTTAAGGCTAGGCGTAACGGCCTTTGTCTGGGTCTGGTTTAACTTACAGTTGTAGATGCTAGTCTTAATAAATACCCATACATTTTTCTCTGAGAAAAGCTGTCCAGAATTTTTTTTTTTTTAATTTAGAGAGAGAGTACGAGTAGGGGAGACGGACAGAGGGAAAGAGACAATCTTAGCTTAAGCACGCTCCATACTCAGTGTGGAGCCCAATGTGGGGCTCGATCCCATGACCCTGGGGTCATGACCTGAGCCAAAATCAAGAGTGGAATGCTCTAAGCATCCCTGGGAAATTGTTTTATTTTTGTTTATTTCTTTTTGTAAATACTTTAAAAAAAAATTTATGGGGCGC